CGCAATCGCAATCGCAATAGTAATTCCAATCGCAATTCCAATCGCAATTCCAGTCAAATTCCATTCTCCACCACACTAGAACTCGATTTGAAATCGAAATCTCATTCTCAATCTCGATTCCAATCGGAACCGGAATAACCATCATAATCCCATTCGTAATCGTAATCGTAATCGCAAAAGAAATAGCAATCCAAATCCCAGTCAAATGGCTCTCTCCATCGTAATCAAAATCAAAATCGAAAAAACTATCTTAATACTAATTCCAATCTGAATCAGGAATTACAACCATAATCCCAATCCCCGTGACAACGGTAATCGCAATCGCAATTGCAATAGTAATTACAATTTTTATCCTAATCATAACTCCTATCTCAATCCAAATCCCCTTTCTCGAAACAATACTTAAATGCGATAAATCTAATCAAACAGTCAGTGCAATGCCAATCGCTCTAGTAATTGTAATTGCAATCGTGATCCAAATGGCACTCTCGATCGTAATCGCAATCGCAATCGCAATCGAAATCCTAATCAAAATCTCAATCAAAAATTGCCATGCGATTTGCAATCACATTCAAAATCTCAATTCAAATCGGGCAAGCAGACTTCGTGACTTGGCGAGATGGTGTTGCTCTTTGGCAGAAGGGGCCAATAAGGTGCTGGCGTTGAACAAGATGACAAGAGGAAAATTAAAAAATATCCCAATTCCAACGTCCAAAAGATACTTCCGAGCAATATTGGCCAGCCCTCTTGTGAATAGCCATTGGGATTTCTTTCTTTAGTGGAATACTCTCACTCAAAAAGGCTGATTTCAACGGCACCTTCCCAACCTTCTCCCAGAAATTCCAAGCCAGCCTCAGTCCTTTGAGGCGTTGTCACGTTGGGCAGTTCAAGTTTTCACAATGAACTGATTTGTCAACCTCTGACAACATCGACACTTACTCACCCTTCCTCGCAAACAGGGTATCATCAGCACCTCAACCAGATTCGCGCTCTGACTGCAATCGGTTCAGAGAAAGAGATGATCCTTTAAGAGTGAACCTCCAGCCGACAAGTCAAACGTTTATATTGTACTGCAATCGACGACACTACTATAGACTAAATGAGTAGTAGACCTTGAACCAGCAGTTGAGCCAACCTCTGAGTCTCGTTTGGCAGTTTTCACATCGCCCGGACTGGCCTTAGCAGCATCTTCAGCCAGACTCGAATCAGATGACGCGCAAGCAAAGTAGATAGTTCACTTCAGTTTGGATGAAAATACTTTTGGGGAAGCAAGAATAATTGGAACTCTCTAAAAACATTTGGCCCGTTCATGAGTTTATGGGAAAATTCATTGTTTGATGCAACTTAAAGGGACCGGAACTTTTATTCAATATTTAGTGAATCTACCGAAAACCTCTTTAAATCTATCTTTAATTAATATAGTTTATAGACCCACTTGCTCAGCTTTTTCAACAAGTTAAGAATTCATTTGGCACCTTCCAGCCCCCCTCATTCCAGTTCGCCCAGTTCACCGAGGCTGACCTCAAGACCCGCTCAAGCATGCGGACATTTCCAACGCGGCTTGATTCACGCTCTCTTGCGACGCCACTTCAAAGTTCAAGCCTCACCTGCAGCCAAGCGGGTCGACTGACTAACGGCCTCGGGAACCCCGCGAATATACCCTTTCCAATTAAGTGTTTAGTCGTTGCTTGCGTGCCCGCCCAGCAGGACACCCAAGTCACATCATCATCAGCATCATCGTCATCATCATCATAACCACCGGCATCATTTCCATAAGCATCGTCATCGTCATCATCATTACATTAATCGCTATCATCTTCCTAATCATCACCACCATCATCACCTTAAAAACAACATCATTATCATCAGCACAACCACGAGCGTCAATATCATCATCAGCAGCGGCACTCTCAGTAAAGGCTTCTTCTTCACACGTCGTCTACACGTCAGTCGGGTCAGATGAGCTGGCCAATTGAGAAGGAATCACGAACCCTTCGAGCCTTCCGTCATGAACACACCCACTGTCGCCCCCCGCTCCCCCGCCCCCCATCGCCCTTTATTTTGCCCACAGCCCATTTTTCCCAACTTCTGTCGGCTTGACTGTTCTATCCAATGCTGTTCATTATTGCCCACTCGTTTAGTTTACGTTCGACTGGCTTCTGAAACATCTACTCGAGGCAAATTGGACATTTTCGGACTGAAAAAGTGGCCCGCAGGCACGTTAACTTGCTACACCGCGTCGACACACCTCATCAGACTTGTCCCTTTTAGAACAGTTGAACACGCTCTCTCTCTCTCTCTCTCTCTCTCTATCATTCTAGAAGAGATTCCAATCTCAGCTAAAGTGGACTTCAGTTTCCATCTGGCTTCACTGGCGCATAGCCGCTCAGAGCAGG